AATTAAAAAGCCCTTCAGAATCAAACTCATCAAACTCTATATCTAATCAAGCTTCTCCAATCAATGTTGCCAAAGGAGCAAATCCCCAGACAACTATATCATTTCACTTTAATTTTAGTTTATACACTTCGCAAGTGCAGATCCAAAGTCTTTATCATAGCACAAAGGAATCTATGTATATGGGCTACTTACTTTAAGTCTTGAGAAGATGCAGTGTAGAACCAAATGAGGGCACAGGACTCAGAATTGGATTTGCTTATTATGTATCCAAAGTCTCTATTGGATATGCCAGACACAGTAACAACAAAGTCTCCAATGGAGACGTTACTGGGCCCGCTCGAGCAAATCGACGATCAACGGGAGGGCCTACTACTTTCAGTATCCAAAGTCTCTAGTTTACACCCATTTTAAATCCTTGTATATTTTTCAGTACTTAATTTCTTGTTTTGTTTGGGTTTTTGAATTTGGGGTCACTCTTGGCAGTCCTTGGAGATTTTTTCTGGCTCCATGCTCAGAGATCTCTCCTGGCAGTGCTCTGGGAACCACATATGGCACAGAGGATCGAATCTTCTGCTGCATGGAGGGAAGCACTTAAGAACCCTGTATGTCCCTCCTGTCCTAGTTTCTAGTGTATAAAGCTTCATTCCCAATGCTTTACTTTGTATAGATGCATCATATGAACTCCTCCTATTTTCAAGTTAATATATGCATAGACATTATATATTTATACATTACTTATATTGCATATACATATATAACGTACATATTGGATACCAAGAGGAGATAGGAAGAGGAATTTTTCTTTCATTTTTCTTTTGTTTTTATTTGGGAGTCAAACAGTACTGTAAAATAAAGTTTCTGATAATTTATTATGCCTGAAACATAATAGCAAATATAGTTTAATATTCCTCAATAGTAGCTGTTTTGAAATACAAATAACATAACAATCATCAGTTAATTATGATATAAAAATGGGAAACTTAGAAATACTAAATAATAATTACCTGGAAATTAGACTTTTAGGAACCCTATTCTTCTTGCTAATGTTTTTGTAAATCTAAAATTATTCCAAATTTAGCTTTAAAAAACCAACATAAAATCGATAAGGAATGCTTTCAGGGAAATAATGAGTAAATTTACAGAGGTAACTATTTGTATTTTTCCTGAATTCTTTAATATCACATATATTTTATTTTGCCATTAAGAATGAAAGTTTTATTTGTTTGAATTGTCTAACCTTGTGGAACTTCAATTGTGTTATACATGTAAATGTATAACATGTAACCATAAAATAGGTGACCTAGTCATTAGGTGGTGTGTGTGTGTGTGTGTGTGTGTGTGTGTGTTTGTGTGCACGCGCACGCTCATGAGGACATTGAAACTTGATGTAATTGCAAAATCAAAAAGTTGCTAAACAGTTCAGGAGGACAACTTAATGATAAGGATGTGAGCAGTTTGCTGTGAGGTAGGAACATGATACAAAAATTTTTTTATTAGAAATTGGAAACATGGAACTGGAGAGATGGAAGACATTAAGGTATATGCCTTGCATGCAGTTAATTAACCTTGGTTACATTCCTGGCTCCACAAATAGTCCTGAAAGAACTGCTGGAGTGATCCTTGAACATAGAAAAGGTGTAAGCCAAAGTACAGTAGGGTTTGACTCCCAAATAAAAACAAAAGAAAAAAAAAGAAAAAGTCCTCTTCCTATCTCCTCTTGGTATCCAACATGTACGTTGTATATGTTATGTGCAATATAAGTAATGCATAAATATATAATGTCTATGTGTGTATTAAATTAAAAATAAGAGAAGTTCATCTATACAAATATGAGAAAACAAGACCCCTACACAACATACGTACACACACACACACAAACATACACTCCACTGGCCAGTTTTTTTCAAAATAAGGCAACGTATATTATTCTCTTAAAGACTATATTGCAAAATCTCTTAGTAATCAAAAAGATTACTAAGAAAAGAAAATTTCTTTTTTTGAGGAGGGCTTCCCAAGTGATGCTCTTCTGGTCATTCTTGGCAACCAAGCTAAAAAGCTGAATCCTAAGATATGAGTATATGGTACTACATGGGTCTTGGAGTGCTGGAGATCAAAACCCCAGCAGTGCTTGGGGCCCTCTGGGCTATAAATAACAATCTAACAATACTAGAGGCTACTTCCAGCAATGCTTAGGCCTATGTTACAAGTAAAATTCAACTGGAATACTATCAACCACTTCACCATTTCCCTTGTCCTTAATAAATTTTCTTGCTATCTATTGTAACTATTATTTGCAAATAAAAGTTAAAATAGCCCTCTGTGCCATAGGAGATACGTAATTCAGATGAATTGTTTTTATCAGGGAATGGCAAAAAAGAACTTATTCCTGCTTTTCTCTTTTTTTCATTTTAAATATCATCTAAAACATTATCATCAAGCCTATGTAAAAAAGAGTTTACTATTTAGTTTTTTTTTCTTTTAGAAATTATAAATTATGTTCAAATCTTTAGTCCATTTAAATGATTTTTGGCTGGGAGTTGGGGGTACGTCTAGTGGTGATCTGGGCCACTCTTTGTGTTTCTCAAAATTCATTCTTGGTGGTCCTCAGGGGACCATATGTGGAGCAGAGGATTAAACTTGAGGTGGCTATATGCAAAAAGATGCTTTATATTCTGTACTATCTCTCTAATCCTTGAGTTAATTTTTGTCTATACTGTAAAACAATGATCATGTTTCATCATTTTATAACTGACTGCCATGTTTTCACAATATTAAAGAAATTGTACTTTGCATATTACTGATTTTTTTTCTTACATTAGTTGGCCATAAAGGTATAACATTGTCTCTGGGTTCTATATTCTGTTTCCACTGACTTTTGTGCTTACTTAGATGCTAATACCATGCTGCTTTGATTACTAAATATCTGCAATATAGTTTGAAACTGGACTGCACTTCCTACAGATTTGCTTTTTCTATTCTAGATTAGTTTTTCAATTGGAGATCTCATGATTTAATCAAATTTTACGATTATTTTTCTAATACATCATGTTACAAAATATATTGTTTTAAGAGTTCTTAATAGAATTTTTATCAAAACTCATTTAGGAATTTAATGACACCTCTATATCCTTTTTCAGAATTGTTTTAGATAAATACATATAGAAAAATGTTATTAAAATTAAGTTTTAGTAATGACAAGATATAGAAATGTGATTTATTTTATCATATTTTTATTTTTTATCACCATGAGATACTATTACAGACTTATAAACTTTCATGATTATGTTTCACTCAAAAACTGTTTGAGTACCCATCCCTCTACCAGTGCCCATTCTTCACTACCAATGTTCCTAGTATCCCTCCCCGAACCACCACCCCTTCTTAACCCCTATCTCCAGGTCAAGCACATTCCCTCTTACTCTCTCTCTCTCCTTTTGGATGTTATGGTTTGTCATGCAGGTACTGAGTACATCATGTTTGGTCGATAGTCTACTTTCAGCACTCATCTGGCAATTCCTCCAACCATCATTTACTTAGTGCACCCTTCTTCATTCCAGCTGCCTTTTCCACAAGCACAAGCTGTGCAGAGATGGTTCTGATTCTTATTTCTACTATCCTTAGGTGTTAGTCTCATATTATATTACTTTATAATCCACAAATGAGTGCAGTCATTCTATGTCTGTCTCTCTCTCTCTGACTCATTTCACTTAGCATGATACTCTCCATGTTGATCCACTTATATGTAAATTTCATGTTTTCATCTTTTCTTACAGCTGAAAAGTATCATATTGTGTAGATATACCAAAGTTTCTTTAACCAGTTATCTGTTCTCAGGTACTCACGCATTTTCCAGATTCTGGGTATTGTAAAGAAATATGATTTTAGTATGGTATGTTACAATAATATTTAAAGTCCCATGACACCAACACTGTTTACAGAAATATCTATGACTTTGTTTATTATAATATCATATATATACATGCATACATATATGTATATATGTGCTGATAATACTGCTGTGGTGTATTGACTGTTTTTATTATTGAGAAAAATTAAATCATTTTATCACTTTTTCATAATCAGGGTTCTAGAGGTGCTCAGAATTTATCTACTAACTTCAGGTGCTTGTTCAAATGCTTATATAGATAAATTTTGAGCTCAGTATTTATCATTCCAGTTGGTTTAATAAGTCATAGAAAAATTATATATAACAAGTGATGAGTTGATATATGTGGGCAGTAATTAAATGTTTTACTTCAACAAAGGGATAGAGGGCAAAAAATTGTTCACTTAAATTTCAAGAAGAGAAGAAATTTTCCTTTAATTTTTGCTTTATTTAATAATATTTCATATGTTTACTAGAGTGATAGCACAGCGGGTAGGGCATTTGCCTTGCATGCAGCCCACATGGCTGACCCGAGTTCGATTCTTCCGCCCCTCTCAGAGAGCCCAGCAAGCTACCGAGAGTATCTCGCCCACACGGCAGAGCCTGGCAAGCTCCCCGTGATGTATTCTATTCTAACAAGTCTCACAATGCTACTGAGCCCGCTCGAGCAAATCGATGAACAATGGGAGGACATTGATAGTGACAGTGATATTTAATGGAATTATAAAATACATTATTATATTGCCATTTAAAACTCTTTCACATTCACTTTCTCAGTGCCCTACATAATAAAATTGTATTTATACTGCAGAATATTTTGGTATGTTCTATATTATCCTATTGTCATAATTTTCAACATGAATTTGTTCTAGATCCAGTTCAGTATTACTTAAATATTTTATTTAGTAGTATAATGTGAGATAAGAATTCAACTTTCCTTCAATATCCCTGATGCCAGAACATCCCATAGATGGGATGAATCAATAATATCTTGTTTACCAGATAATAAACTAAGCCATTCTGATTTAGGCAGAAGTCAAATAAGCTGTTGCTATCAAATTCAATTTAAAGCACTTATGGATGGTCGTTAATGTATTCACACATTTGTTTACAGTGAATGTCATAACTCCACCGATCGAATCAAAGTCAGAGTGTGGGATGAAGATGATGACATTAAATCCAGAGTGAAGCAACATTTCAAAAAGGAATCAGATGACTTTTTAGGACAAACAATCGTAGAAGTGAGGACCCTGAGTGGAGAAATGGACGTTTGGTACAATTTAGGTGACTATCTTTTTTATGTATAGTTGAAAGAAAATCATAATCATAACAATTTCCATAATATCCATGTCATGTATTATGTCCTCACCAAAATATCTAACGACTATCTAGGACTTTTGGGGAATCTAGTAATTAATTTTACTATAAACTAAAACCATCACTATTAAGTTCAGTATAATAAATTTGATACATAAAGGGGAAAGCTTTCAATTAATTGGGAATCTTTTAGGAGACAAAAACACATCCCTTTCTTAATTATAAAAGCATAGCTTCAGAAATTTTTGTACAATGTATAAGAAATGAATTGTTCCTTTCAATAACAAATAATATATTTTTAATAATGACGGAATTATTTTCTTTTGTTTTCTCAATGAAATTTTTTTTCTTTTTGGGTCACACCCTCACACCCAGTGATTTACAGGGATTACTCCTGGCTGTGCACTCAGGAATCACTCCTGGCAGTGCTGGGTACCATATGGGATGCTGGGAATTGAATCCAGGTCGGCTGCGTGCAAGGCAAACACCCTACCCACTGTTCTATCTCTCCAGCCCCTCTCAGTGGAATTTTTATTGTAAAGGAAATGTAGTTTATTTATATGTTGATATAAACATAGATTTCAGATGTTAAAATTGAGTAGATATGTTAAATATTTTCCTTTGATCATAGAGATTTTGAAACATGTTTACTTGGCATGACTTGCTAAATGAGTTTTGTTATAGGACGAATAAATAAATTAAATGTTATTTGATGTTTACTAGAATAATTTAACAACTTGGCTTCTTAGTATTGATTTCATAGTAATAAAAATATCTCCATCATGTCAGTTTCTATAAAGAATATGATGCAAATTTCTTAATCATATTACCTTTCATGTAAGGACTTATTATTATTATTAGAAAGAATTTTATATTGTCCTAGGATTTTAAAATGTTTTCATTTTAAGATAACACATTATATTACAGAATCAGAGACTGATGTTTTTGCAAGCACTTCAAACAACATAAAATCACATAGAATAAATGAAACTAAATTATTCAATAATTTCAAGAAAAATATAAACCTTAATTGGTTACAAATGATTCATGCTATACTATGAGCTGACTCTCTAAACAATTTTAAGTAAATCCTAAATAAAGTTTTCACTTGTGAATTTGGGCATAGAATGTTTTCCTGTTGTAATTATCATTCTCTAATATCTTGTTTATACTAATAATGGATTTATGCATGAGAACACAGAAAATAAACTTCTGGCCCTTAACTCTGTAATAGTTACAAATTGATTTCTAATTTAAGTCTTTAACCTATATACACACACATATCTATACATTATAAATATTTAATAGTAAATTGGTATTTCCTTGAATTGATGTAGTTAGAATCCCAAATATAAATTCCTCTAATTTGTTTTTGTGATAGAATGCAGATGAGTATATTAAATTAGTCAAGAAATTTGAATTTACTGTTAATATAAGCATCTGTTCAATTCTTATTCTGAAACTGTCTATAAAAGGGAAAATATAAAATAATTTCCCCTTACTTACCATCAGTTCATTGATTTGTTAAAAATATATAAGGAAAACACCTTAACTTTATGCCTCCAAGAACCTGTTTTTTTTTCCTTCTTAAAACTTGCCAAAATTCTCAGTCCTTCGAGTAGAATCTGTGTCCCCTTGATCTGTTGGGTTGGTGATCGTTAAAATCAAGGACTACGGATGGGAACAGAGATAGTACAATACGGAGAACATTTGCTTTGAAGGCCTGCCTTATGGTCCCTAGATGCCCCTAGTACTGATCCTTGAACGCAGAGCCAGGAATAGCTCTGAGCACAGCAGTTGTGACTCCAGAACAAACAAACAAGCAAAATGATAGCTAAATACCAGCAGACCTTGGGAATCTTGCAATAAGTTAGTAACTAAAAGATCCCAGGACTTATATTTCTCTTCATCTCCTCATAAATCCTTAACATTTGTTGGGAATCAGCTGTCTCAAAGCCAAGAGGAGAAACTAATTTTGCACTCAAAGAGAAAAAAATTTTCACAATATTTATATGATATTAACAGTGGAGCTTTATCCTATGGCACACATATTAGCACTGGAACTATACAGAGAAGATTAGCATGACAAGAATAACATAGCAATTTGCATGTCACCTACACAAGTTCATAAAGTAGATCAACAATAAGTAGATAAATAGGTTAAAATATTTAGATAAGGTAAATGTTGGCAATGATAAGTTGACACATATACATATACCACAGGAAGAATGTAGCCATCATGATTTACAAATTTTATGTCTAAAATTTTAGCTATGTTTAGATGGTTGTCATTTAAGGAAGCCTTTCCACTTTCTGTCACCTGTCCTTTGTGATGTACATTAGCTTGTCTCTTGCATCTGTGAAGTGGGTGTCAAATAGAGTTTCCTCTCTACATTTACACTCTAAGAATTTTTGATGAATCTTTCCTATCTTTCAGAGCTATGATAGATTTTATGTCAGATATATACATATCTTATTTGACTAAATTGACTATATGTATATTACATTCACATAAACGTTAAATATAGCACTAACAAAAATAGGCTGTAGACTCGAGTTTTATAAATCTCTGACAAATAAGATTAACAGATTTGTTTTCATTAGTCAGAACTTGGCCTCATTGTTCCCAAACACAAAAGAAAAATTGAGTAATGGAAACGTTTAAATATGTCCCTGGTTCATATTAAATCTCATTTATCTTGCTTTAATTGCCTAAATAATTAATTTCATGGCACCGACATGATCAAGCACACATAGAATTATATCAGAATGGCAGGTGCTTCTGATTAAGTGTTTCAATTGAAAGTATTTATTATTCAGTTTGAAAATCTGAATTTTCATAGCACATCATTTTAAATTGTAATTAGAAGAACAGTGATTATGTAATAATCAACCTGATCTAGAAAATATGGAACTTGGTTGTGTAAGCAGATTATAAACTTTGAAGAACATGTATGAGAAACATTCTATTGTCAAAATAATGACCAGTTACGTCCTTGTTACATCAGAGAAACGCACAGATAAATCAGCTGTCTCTGGGGCCATTCGACTAAAAATCAATGTGGAGATAAAAGGAGAAGAGAAGGTGGCTCCATATCACATACAGTATACATGTTTACATGAGGTAAGTCAATTACACTTTATTAATAATAAAATTTAAACCTATAAATTGATGTTATTGTAGATCATACAACAAAATAGTGTACTTAAAATATAATTGAAATAAGTTTGAACAGTTGTTTTGGAGTTCTTATTTAATACCGTGTGCTGTGTGCTTTAACATCATTCACTTCTAAGAAGAGTTTAACATAGACACACGAAGAGGACATTTATAAACAAAGCCACAGATGATAATGAATCAATAAACCAAGTTAAATCACTATTTTGTCAAGGAAGAAGAAAATTTCAAGAATCATTCCCTGGAAAAGTGAGTCCTGGCAAATACGTGGAAACATTAAACATATGATAGTATTTCAGGAGAGGATACAACCCATGACTGTTTTGAGGAATCTAATTCAGTGTTCACATTTTATTGACGGTTTATTTAGGTCTATTGTTCATAACTAGCAATCGTAAAATGCTGCTGTTGAGGGAATAAGTTGAGCAAAACAAGTACGAAGAGAATAAATACAGATGAAACCATAAATCTGCAGAATCCAGTGAGGAAAAAAAAGATTGTAAAAGATAATATGAAACAACGGAAAACCCTTCACCTCAGATTACAATTCTGATGACTTAATCCAGAGGGGAGTGATAGGAGAAAAGGAGAGGATTAGATGTGGCACAGAGCTGTGGTGAAGGGTCTTGGGCACTATTGTGATGCTTGGGTGCAGTAACTTTGTACATTAGTGCCATAGACTGACACTAAAGTGACTTTTTTTTCTATTTTTTTCTTTTTATTAGTGAAACACCATGAGGTACAGTTGTAAATTTACAATTTTTTTGTGCTTGGGTTTCGATTATACAATGATCAAATACCCATCCCTCCACCAGTGCCCATTTTCCACCACCATGGATAATATCCCTCCCCCCACCCCCCATCCCACCCTGCCTCTGTGGCAGGGCATTCCCTTTTATTCTCTCTCTCCTTTTGGGTGTTGTGGTCTGCAAAAGGGGCATTGAGTGGCAAACATGTTCAGTCCATAGTCTACTTTCAACATGCATCTCCCCTCCTGGGAGGATTCTCCAAACACACTTTATTTGGTGCCTCTTCTCTACCTGAGCTGCCCTTTCCCCTAGAATGCCCGGCTGGCCTCAAAGCTATGGAGTAATCCTCCTGGTGCTGATCTCAGCTATTCTTGGGTATTAATCTCATATTTTGTTACTTTATATCCCTCAGATGAATGCAATCTTTCTATGTCTATCCCTCTCTTTCTGACTTATTTTGCTTAGCATGATACTTTCCATGTTGTACTCTTCCGGAGCTACGGCCGCATTAGCGGCCGCGAAATATTCTCCCACTACATATGCCATAGGAACCATAAGCTACCCTCTTAGATAGAACCTTCTCTAGGTTAACTAACCTAATGTGACCATTTAACCAAAACTATAATAAAGTCAAATGGTGGCAGGTTGGGGAGATGCTGATGTTAACTTTTGGGGGAACAAAGAAATAAAAGAAGTATGTTGTAGTTTACATTCCTTCTTTTTCTGAGTACCACAGACAGGACTTCATGTATATAGAACCCTCTTTCATTTAATTACTCTTTTCACAAAAGTGTGCAATAGAATGCAGGTATTCACCCAGGATAGTAGAGAATGAACTTATTCAAAAGATGGTGCTTCCAGGATGGTAAGGAACACCCAGATGAAATCCAAGGAGGTCATTTACTGGTCAGTTTTATTTTCTACTCAAATATGTAAACATATAAACAAATAATGGTGGCTTCTCTTGGGTACTTTGTAACCTAAGTAGTTGGAGACATTTTATCTGTGTCACTACAGCCTTTCCTTGATGCAAAGGACTTTGTTCCCAGATCAAAAGATATGAGATAGCAAAGAGGTAAAAGGAAACTGCTTTTCTAAGACAAAGATGGCTAAAACAATCTTTCCTTTTCCATACTCTTTGCCTAAAATTCCCATAACATTTTTCTGTGTAAAATTTTATGTGCAATAGCAACTCTGTTTCATAAAGAAGGATTAAAAAACAATATAAATCATTTACACAACACGCGATAGTGAATATAGGTGCTACGCTTCATTTCCTTATTATAATCACATTATAATCTCATAATCTATATTCTAATCTCATTGTAATACGTAATATTATTCCTTCAAGAAAGGTGCCACAGTTTATCAGACTGGTAAAAAGAAACCCCTTGTATTGACAGAATGGGGAGGAAACCCTGATCTTAATGTATTTGGAACTATTTTGGGTCTAACTATAGTATTATGATGTACAATTTTAGAATAATTTTTGCTTATCAAGATCAGAAGGAAATCCAAAAACAAACTTTCTTAGTATCCTAGGGTGCACCTATGCAGGAGTTATTAAAGTAATTTGGGTAATGGCTGATTTTTTATTTACAATTATCTCAAATTTTCTTTTCCAATTTATACTGATTATTCTGTTTCCTACCAGTTTACAGTGAAAAACCTTCAGTAACATTTATAATTATATACCCAAATTCTATATTAACACATCCTGTCACCGTCACTGTCCTCCTGTTGTTCATCTATTTGCTCAAGCAGGCCCAGTAATGTCTCCACTGTGACACTTGTTACTGTGTTTGGCATATTTAATACATCATGGGTAGCTTGCCAGGCTTTGCCATGTGGGCGAGATATTCTCGGTAGCCTGCTGGGCTATCCAAGAAGGGCAGAGGAATCGAACTCGGGGGTCGGCCATGTTGGCCGGGTGCAAGGCAAAGGCCCTACCCACTGTGCTGTCGCTCCATCCCAAGTTATGTTTTTAATCCAGGTCTCTATAACTTAAAAAAATCTATGAATATAAAATATAATATACCTAGTAGGAGTGTTTATGAGCATGATGTTTCACTTGTTCTGAAATGATTTCCAATGTATGAAGCATATGAATCATCAATTCTATAAAGACTCAGGCAGAAGTAATAGGTGAATTTGCATAAAGATGAGGTTAATTCTAACAAAAATCCACATATTCCTCTTATTATATGTCCTGATAAAATATTGAAGGCAATAGTACTGCAAGTGTTATTTACTGAAAGTTATATTTAAATAGTTCCAGCCTATTCTGAGGAGTTACTTAAAAATTGAAAACCACTTACTTTTAGAATCTGTTCCATTACTGGACTGAAGTAAAATCTAATGGTGGAGTGAAAATCCCAGATGTCAAAGGGGATGAAGCCTGGAAAGTTTTCTTTGATGATGCTTCACAAGAAATAGTTGATGAATTTGCCATGCGTTATGGGATTGAATCCATTTATCAAGCCATGACGTAAGTATTGTAGACTATTTACCTTTTTTAAAAGTTTCTGTTGAAATCAAAAGAAAGACATTTATTTCTCTTATTTCAAAAAAAGCAACTCCATTGTAACGAGTTTGCTGTTGACTAAACTTATCTCTATAGTTACAAAGAATTAATAATTTGGTAATTTCTTTCATCTTCTTCCCAATCTTTATTCTGGTCTCCAAATATGGTTCTTTGGCAAGCAGCTTCAGTAGTATCTGGGAGCCAAAAAATGCAAGTTCCCTATTCCATCAAGGTCTTGTTATCTGGAAATTCTGTGGGTGGAGTTCAGCAATCTGTACTTTACAAACTCTCTGGGTAAGGTAAAGGTAAAGGTAAAGGCCCTCCCGTTGATCGTCAATTTGCTCGAGCGGGCCCAGTAACGTCTCCATTGGAGACTTTGTTGTTACTGTGTCTGGCATATCGAATACTCTCGGTAGCTTGCCAGGCTCTCCGAGAGGGGCGGAGGAATCAAACTCGGGTCGGCCATGTTGGCCACTTGTAAGGCAAACGCCCTACCCGCTGTGCTATCGCTCCAGCCCATATATATATATATCTGGAAACCAATGCCATAGCTAAACTCTGAGGACATCACTGCCCAGTGATTGAAATGCAATGCAGTGTCTAAGGCATCATTTCTCAAACTGGGCACCTTGTGACACCCCATGGACCCCTGTGATATTTCAAGTCATATGGGTGGGGGTGGTTGGGGGCACTCGGAGGCTGAGTGGTAGGGCAGGTGGATAAAAGGTCAGAAGAAGACATTGTTGGAAGAAGTTAGAGAAACACTAATCTAGGCTTATAATATTATTAGTATCAAAGACCTATCTATAACAATTGATGTATCCTGCCCATATAAATCTCCATAGACTTTCTTTCCAAATTTATATCTGTGCTGTAAGTTTAGTTAAAACTAATATTTATTTAAGAACCATCAAATCAATATCGTATGGTATTGGTTCAAATAGATGCTGTATATATGGGTCAGTGATACATAAAGCAAGCATCTTACATGCTATGCTCTCTTTCCAGCCCTGAAACGTTTTATGTTCTTGAACTTAGTTCAATACTCAGTTCCTCCACATGTCGGGAGGTTCTTTTCCTTTCCCTTCTATTTTTCAAGAAACTTTTCTTTTATTGAGTGCTTGTTCCTCTCTTTCTGACTGACTTCTCTCAGCCCGATACCCCTGAGTTCCATTCAAATGGTGATGAATTGCATGATTTCAAAATACAGAATGATTTCTCTAGTATGTGGAATATAAAGGAACATACAACGAAAATAACAAATGATCAAAAGGCAACAGCCCCTAAGAGTCAGCCTACAGAACCGAGTCTAACAAGTGGGAGCTAGTAGTGGGCAGAGTGAAAGAGAGCTTGGTGGGAAGGAACCCTGGAAAACTGGCAGAGCTGGACACTGACAAACTGGTGGAGGATGCAGTATTGGAATATGAATGCATGGACAGTGCTGAAAATCATGGTACCAAAAAAAAAAAAAAACCCTGGAAAACAAAAGTACAGTTTTGTCTGAAATAAGCTCCTTATCTGGGAGGAAAAAGGAAGAAATTAAATAACAAGATAGTTTTTATTTTAAGTAAAGACAGCAAGCTAATTTACACAGAAATGCATGTGAGCAATGTAAGAACCAGAGAGTAGGACGAAACTAAATCACAGGTCTGACTTCTTAGGAACAAATGCAACAAAACAAATTTTTTGTTTGCACGATTGTATTTGTTTACACCAAAATAAACAACTGTTTCAGTGTATTTTTTTATACCAAAAATACAGATAGTATTCTTCTCTTATCTATTTCTCTGAAGTCCCATAGGATCTCGGCATATTCTTTTTACTAGTTATTTCCAGTCAGCATACTCTCATTTTTATTTGAAAAATTCACTTTGGGGGGCTTGAGAGATATTACACTTTCTTTGAATGTGGCCAACTTAGGTTCTCTTCCTGAAACTTCTTATGGTCCATTGAGCCCTGCCAAGAGTGACCCGTGAGCAGAAAGAAAGGAGTTAGCTGGTTGTGGCTTAAACAACAAAATAATTAATTTAAAAATATTTGGATAAAAGATATTTCCATCCCTTAATAACCAGAGTATGGAGTTGAGTAGAAACTGTTTTCTAAGAAATTGTATCTGAGTTAGGTGATTGTCTTCTATTTTACAACACATTTATAAAAACTAAGAGTGAATGAACTAAATTTAAATGTGTGATATTCAGTACAATTTCCCAATATTTTTTCCAAAGAATATTTCAATAATTAACAGTTGATAATGTTATAGTTACATTCACTGAGAGTATATTAGTAACTAATGAATGTGTTTTAAGCATAATTTTTAAATGCGTTTTGCTTCCTGTAACTGAAGATTCATTTGTTAAATTGTTTTGAGAGTAAACTAATTTTCTTCAAAAGGAAAATCAAATAATTTTAATAATATTAATCTATTGTTTTAAACCATGCATTTGTGGGGATATGTTGAGCTTGTGTAGCGATTACAGTAATCTTTTGACCTATTTTATATAAATATTTGAAGGAATCCTTTGCTGCATTCATTTTAAATTATCTACTCTAATTCAGTTTTCTCCACACTCTGGCTCATAATAATTTAAGCAGCATTGGAACTGAAAAACTGTAGCCTTTAAAAATAAACTTATTTATTTTTGGTGCTAATGATTGAACCCTGGATCTCATCCAGGAAATAAGTATTTGTTCTACCATTAGCAAACCCAGGTGATGTATTTTCACTTGTTGGTTGGTTCATCTTCATTTGTTTATGGGTGGGGGGGGGGCACAGATGCAGTGCTCAGAGCTTGCTTTTGGCTCTGTGCTCAGTAATCATCCCTAGTGGGTATAGGGGGAAGACCTCATTCAAAACCATGGATAGAACGTGAAAGTTCATCCCACTGTACTTTCTCTGACTCCATAAATAAATATATCACTGTGCCCCCGTTGTTCATCGATTTGCTTGAGCAGGCCCAGTAACATCTCCATTGGAGACTTTGTTGTTACTGTGTTTGGCATATCGAATACATCACGGGTAGCTTGCCAGGCTCTGTTGTGCAGGCGAGATACTCTCGGTAGCTTGCCGGGCTCTCTGAGAGGGGAGGAGGAATCAAACTCGGGTTGGCCATGTTGGCTGCGTGCAAGGCAAATGCCCTACCGCTGTGCTATTGCTCCAGTCCTTCTCTGGCTCTTAGAAAATGATTTTTAAAGAAATATTCGAAAGTTGAAAGTTTGAGCTGGAGCAACAGTACAGCGGGTAGAGCGCTTGCCTTGCATGTGGCTGAGCTGGGTTCCATTCCCACTACGGTCACCAGAGTCAAGCCAGGAGTGATCTGAAGGCAGAGCCAGGTATAAGTTCTGAGTTTTCCATGGCAGCAACCATACAAAGACACATATACATCCAGAGCAGACCCTCTGTTACTTGAAGAGCCCTACTAGAGATTATCTCTCAACAGGAGGAGAATCAATAGGCTGACTCCCTTGTTCCAGCTTCCTGATGATCACAACTCATCCTGCACTGAAAAGTTAAATGTTGGTAACAAGAGGAAGTGATGCATGTGGTCGGATACAACATAATCTCTGTAGTCAGTCAGAGAGGCATAGTATATTAAAGCTTGTTATCATTGTATCTTAAATATTCCACTGTGAAAATAGAGAAAGTGAATCAAGAGATTAATGAAATCATTAAAGGTAACAGAGAAGGGCTAGGATTAGATGAATCACTTCTGTACCATGGTGTGAGTAAGCAACTCACAAATTGCTTACTCAGAATCCCTCTTTTCCTCACAGAAAGCACTATCTTTAACTATGCAGTTTTTTTAAAAAAGATAAGTATTCTTATCAACCAGGGGAAATATTTCAGTATCCAAATGAACTGAAATTGTTTCTGAGGTTCAGTGTTTTATCTTCTTACTTAAAATCAAATTATTAAAATTTTCATCTCGTATTACAAGTGATTACAAGTGTATTACAAGTCCAGAGTTTCTAATTCTTGCTAATAATATTCAAATATATATTCTAGGGCTAGAGCGATAGCACAGCGGTAGGGCGTTTGCCTTGCACGCAGCCAACATGGCCGACCCGAGTTCAATTCCTCCGCCCCTCTCGGAGAGCCCAGCAAGCTACCAAGAGTATCTCTCCCGCACGGCAGAGCCTGGCAAGCTCCCCGTGACGTATTCGATATGCCAGACACAGTAACAACAAAGTCTCCAAATGGAGACGTTACTGGGCCCACTCGAGCAAATCGATGATCAACGGGAGGGCCTTTACTTACTTACTTATATTCTTAGAGGCAACAGATACTCCATTTTTTAATTTTTTTCTTCTGTGTTTTGCGGCCACACCCACAGTGGTCATGGATAACAACTAGCTCAAAGACAAGGGCTCACACCTGGTCCTTATAGAGCTCAGGCGAGTATCTGGAATGCTGAGTATCAAATCCAGGTGGTCTGCATGCAAAGCAGGGTCCCTACCCACTGTACTGTCCCTCTGTCCCAGGCTTAAGTTTGTTGTGTTTGAGATTTGGGTATATTGAAAAGTGTTTAACTTAACTCTGACCAAATTTAGGATGGTAATATTTATAATTTTATTATTAGACTCTTACCAAACAACAGGCATCCCTTGATTATAATTTGAATCATATGACAAGAAAAATTCTATAAAAATGATTAAATCTGATGAAAAGTAAGGTAGCCATAAATAAAATTTGGTGAGTTTCTAATTATCCTCCTATGCATAGTATTTTTATATCTCACCATTCTGAGCTCTATATTTGGCCTTATGATGTTATGATCCAAGATCAATCCATTAGGTATATTTTAAATTAGTTTTTTAAAATAATTTATTTATTGAAATCAAGCTAGTGATATTTTATATAAATTTTTTAAATTTTTTTATTAGTGAATCACAGTGAGGTACAGATACAGACTTACAAACTTTCATTCTTGCGTTTCAGTCATTCAATGATCAAGTCCCATCCCTCC